AGCTGTGAATTCTTTCCAATAACATAAATCGGAAAGGTAAACTTATTAATATGCATTTCACTTATCACGTGACTGGAACTATTCATGTTGCTTATGTTAGCAAGTTTTCTGACGACTTCTAAGTGGAGAGCAACGTTGAATTGAAAGTTCTTTAAGTAGGATGAATATGGTGTCCTCATAAGAGATTTCTGAGTTGTTGATATTTTAGCCGTTAAAATTTATCTTTTGCCTACAAAAAACGGATTGGTGAAGGTTCTCAAGCAAACTGACTCATGACCATGGTGATATGATTGATTGCTGCTGAAGGTTTCTAGGAGTTATCCAAAGTGATCGAACAGATCATAATCTACAGCAGTATTTGCATTATGAGTAGGACTTCGATGATTGAATCTTTTTCGTGGTGATAGCAGGCCTCTGCCACTGCAGAAAATGTACGCCATATTATTTAATAATCTTCACCGAGTTTTTCATTGTTGAATTGAAGAAAGCTCAATTTCATACGATGTACAAATAGAGCGGAGGAAAGTGGCATGGCAGTTGGCAGACAGAATGATTATTTATTATAGTTATTCCATAGTGGAGTTAATTTTGCCTTGTAACATGGGTGCCTGTAAGTGCTAATGAGATAGAATCGCTGGTAATGTTGATAATCTATCATAACAAGCCTTCAAAAATTGCACGGCAAATTAGTGGATTACAGATGCCAAATTGCGATGCAGTGGTCTGCTTTAGATATATTCCAGGTCTAAGGGAGAGGCGTGTTCGTAATAACTAAATTTAACCTGACTGCCTAATTCTAATATGTACATGAATGTGATCGAATAGAGTTTTTTTGTGCAATCAAGTGACTGTAACTGTTTGATCTATTTCGTTTTTTCTAGCCTTGTGAATTTATTTTCCTGGTCGCTATTTCTGGCAGACTAATTCATTTGTAACTTGTCTTTCAGAAATTTATGTATGTTAGTATCGTTTATGTCTTTTATCAGTGACGGAATGCTCGGCATATCGACATTACTATCAGTTCTTGCCTGTCATTTCCATATCTCAACTCACTCATCTGCAGCAACGACACCATCATGTCTGAGTTAAATAGATCTTCCTCTCTTTCTGTGCTTTTGATAACCTCCCAAATATCTGGGCTGTGAGAGGAGTGGCACTTTGTGCGAAAATCCCCCTGTTCCATGTCTCGGTTGTTTGAGTATTGTTGTATTGCATGAAAACAGTTGCTCTGACGAAAGACTAAGAAATATAATTTAACTGCCTACAGCAGCATCCCTTTGACGCATGATGAGTGTTGAAAGGCTGGACTGCGTAGCGAATGACTCTTCTCTTCCTGGCACATGTGACCTTGGTATAAAGATTAAGAGTCTGGCCCTGTTACAGAAACGGGTCAGACAGAAACTGTATACTCTAATCCAAGAGCTTCTAGTTTAGGAAGCAAAGCACGGCAGTCGCTGACTAGGAAGCCAGTTAAGGTTTAAGCATTGCGTAATTACTTATTAATTCGACCAGTAGACGTCATTGCTACAAATGGAACCCTTGTTGGTCGCCGTTAAAGCCTTTAATGAAAATTTCCAAAATTAAGGTTCAGGGTTGTTTCTTATGTGCGAGGTTTGCGCTTGCTTCTTACATTTTCGTAGGCCATTTTAAATGCTGATCTGGGAAAAAAACGACCAAACTAACCAAGATAAACATTTATCGGGTTGCAGTCATCTCGATTTCCCAATACGAAATAGAAAGGGCTATTTTTACGATGAATTCCCTTTGTTGCCAAACATGATAGGAATTATGTGGTTGGTCGTCTTGAATACGACTGCCTTGTGGCATTTGCAAATCTTCTGGTCAGATCAGTGGGATTCAGAGAGAAAAAGACCAGCGGCATGGAAGTTTCTCAAGACAGTTATGATATTGAACCTTGTAATGTAGTATTGTCGCAGAATTCAGCGTAGGATACGATCGACGGAACTGAATGGGGACTTGTTGAGATTAAGCGAATAGAGACTCGTTTAGGGAATCTACTTTTTCGCCTAAGTATATATTTCCTACTACCAAAATGCAAACTGTTGAGACAAATGAATGCCCCTAGTTTTAGGCAGCCAGTACAGAGAAATTAATATAATTTCAACTGCAAAAATCGTTTTAAAGAAGTTCACTATGAAACCCTTAACTGAACTCTTATACCTGTCTGAAGACTCATTTTGTAACAGTTTTAC